TAACTGCAACTCTTAATTTGCTGATGGGGATGTGAAACAGAATGATCACTTTAGAAAACTTATTGGCTGTTTCTAACAAAGTTAATATCTGCTACATGACTTCAAAACAGAGAGAGTATTGTATGAGAATATTCATAGCAGCTTTACTTTTAACAGTCCTAGGCTGGTAAAAACCTAATCCAGTAAAAAGAATGGGTAAACAAATTTTGCTTAGTTCATACAATGAAGTACTATGCAGCAATGAGAAAAGAATAAATTATTGATATACAAAGCAACATAGAAAATACTCAAATATTATATTGAGCTTAAGAAGCCAGGTACAAAAGAGTAGCAGGCAGTATAATTCCATTTATATTGAAGTTCAGCTTAGGTAAAACTAATCTGTGATCATAGGAGTCAGAATATGGTTACTCCTGGGAGTGTGAGGATGTGATATTGACTAGAAAGGACACAAAGAAACTTTCTAGGATGTTGGAATTGTTCTATAATTTGATCTGGGTGATGATTACATGGGATAATGCAAGTAATGATCTATGCATTTTATTATACATGTTATGCCTTCATTTTTTTTAAAAAACCTAATGGTTTTTAAGTTAGTGTTATATATCTGAAAAATTCATATAAAAACCATATGCTAGAGACAACAGTTTGGGATTCATTGTTAGTTTAAACCTTAGTTAAGAGAAGTTATATTTGTAAATATATAGAAAGCATGAAGCAGAAAGAAAAATACATCTGTTTCATTTAGGCCCACTGGGACTTGCATGTGTTCCAGAAGCAATGTTTTTCAACTCCACTAATAAAATAATTTCTTATATTCATATTCTAACAGGAAGTTTTATTTCTTTTCTCTTCTACCTTAGTAGCTCATGATTCAGCCTAATCATGGATTGTGATTTTCTTTTCTTTAGTTACTGTGACCTGTAACCCAATTTGAATTTTTCTTCTAAGCTGATACAGTAAGCCCAGAGTTATTGAGAATGTACTTGCTATGTGCAAGCCCCAGTGCTATACATATACATATACACCTCCTGCCTTCAGAATTTGTTGTGGCAGGGAAGTCAGTGATCATAACAGTAGTAGTCCTAGGAAACTTTTTAAAAATATGAACTTTATATTAAGCACTGTCCAAAGCACTTTGTATATGAATTATCTAATCATCACAACAACCCTAAGAGACAGGGCAAGATGTTGGTGTAAGACTGACATCCTTTGTATGATTGAGAAAGATGGAGAACCTCTCCGTTATCTCAAGAAGTTCAACTCTGGCCCTACTGAAAACCTCACTATAGCAAAATAAAGATTGATAACTGAACTTGTTCTCTTTTAAGACGATTTAGGGGTAATCTGTTGTAACTGAACATGAACATGCCCTAGGGTGATCTCACCCCCAACACACACACACATACACACATGCACCACAGCGTTCTGCCTGAAAGAAGTTTGGGTAAATAGAAGGTTTGTGTTTCCTTTTTGTAAATTAGTACCCTTATAGATAAATACTCTTGATAACTACTCATCTGTCTCACCACAATGTTCAGTTTTGATGTAGGTGCTATTTTTAATCCTTATTTTACTGTTGAGGAACCTGAGGCTCGGGTAAGTTGAATAATATTCTATATAGTTTTTATTGCTGTATAACAAGTTACTACAAACTTAGCAGCTTAAAACAGCACACATTTGCAGCCTCATAGTTTCTGTGGGTCTGTGAGTCTGGCACAGCTTAGCTGGATCCTATGCTAAGGGTCTTAGAAGGCTGCAGTCAAGGTGTCATTTGGGCTGTATTCAGCAGGGAGCTCTAGGTCCTCTTGCAAACTCACAAGGTTTTTCACAGAATTTATTTTCTTGTATGTGTATGGTAGATGCCTTGTTTTCTTGCTCCCTGTTGCCTGGAAACTGCCTTCTGCTCCCGAGGTCGTTGCCATATGAGCCCGTTCATAAGCCCTCCCACCCTGTATATAATGGTTTGCCTCTGCTGATCCGAGCCCCCCATTCCTTCACTCCCCTACGTCTGTTCTCCCTTGGCAACCACAAGTCTGCTCTCTATACCTGTGAGTCTGGGATTCTCTCCAGCTCAGTTCAGTTCCTGTCATGTCTGACTCTTTGCAGCCCCAGGGACTACACCACGCCAGACTTCACCAACTCCCGGAGCTTGTTCAAACTCATGTCATTGAGTCCATGTTGCCATCCAACCATCTCATCCTCTGTCGTCCCCTTCTCCTCCTGCCTTCAGTCTTACCCAGCATCAGGGTCTTTTCCAATGAATCAGTTCTTTGCATCAGGTGGCCAAAGTATTGGAGCTTCAGCACCAGTCCATCCAGTGACTATTCAGGACTGAGTATGGGATTAGCAGAGGCAAACGCTTGCATATAGGATGGGCAAAAACAAGTTCCTACCATCTAGCACAGGGAAGTATATTCAGTATCCTGTGACAAAACATAATGGAAAAGAATATGAAAAGGAGTATTCGCTTTCATATTCTTTTCCATTATGTTTTGTCATAAATGAGTCACTTTGTAGTACAGAAGAAATTAACACACATTGTAAATCAACTGTAGTTCAATAAAATCTACCAAAAAAACAAAAAAGCCCTCCCATAACACAATAGCTTATTTCTTCAAGACCAGCAGGAGAATCACTGACCTTGGGGAGAGCACCAGACTGTCTATGAAAGGGCTTACCTGAGTAGGTCTGGCCCACATGAAATCATCTTCCTTTTTGTTAATTCAGAGTTAGCTGGTAAGGAACCTTAGTTATATATGTAAAGTCCATTTTGGCATGTACGTAACATAACCACAGGATTGATCACTGATCATATTCATAAGTTCTACCCCAATCAAGGCGAGGAGATAATACAGGGTGGGGACACCAAGAAGATGGAGATCTTGGAGACCGTCTTAGAATTCTGCTTAGCGATACGCACAGTTCCCTAGCAGGTAATTGGCAAAGCAGTGTTGTCTTTGAGCAAAGCATGCATGGAAATCTTCACATCGAAGTGCCTCTCAAAAACATAGATGCTAACTACAAAAAAAAAAAAAAATCTGTTTTAGAAAGCTTCCAAATACCTGACATTTGTGAATAATGTAGCTATCAGCACCATTAAAGTAAGTGTAAGCTTTGTTAGTACCTAACAATGCACATATATAAATAATGTTAAGGAACAAAAACATGAATAAAAAATACTACATACATGGTATCTACTGTTATATTAATGACACGTGGATTAGAAAATATATGATGATGTAAAATAGTTGATTTATGTTTCTGGACTCAAAACATTTATCTGTCATTTTAAAAGTATAACCTTTAAAAAGTCATTTATCATACAGAGTAGCAGATGGTAAACATTTCTGTTGACAGTAAGTGCTACAGAAGTTCAGAATAGGGGAGATTAATGTGGACTAGAGTTCTTCCTTAGGTATAAAATAAGGTTAATTTTTTATGCGGTAGTTTATCATAAATTTTGCCCCAAAACTAGTTGCTTTTATGTAGTTTGTCATCTGCTCGGTATACAAGATTGCATGCCTTCTATGAAGAGACCCAGGTCATCTCCACGTATGTGGCTGATTTTCATTTAAGTAGAACTCCTTTAACATTGTTTTAGAACCTCACTTGTAATCTTGAGTCATTGTACTAGCCCTCTTTTATTATAGGCTAGGAAACATGGCATTGCTATATATCTGTTAGTTGATACTTTTTACCAATTAGTTCTTCATTTTCAACTATTGCAAAATAAATTGGTGGGATTCCCCCCCCCCTTTCTGCTAGGGATCTCGATTATTCATTCTTCCTGTATCTCTAGAATACATAACCATCTCAACTGCTTATGAATTAGTTCTTATTTTAAAAGTTGTGGCAAACTGAATAATGGCCTTCCAAATACGTCCATGTCCTTATTCCTGGAACCTGTGAATGTCACTTTAAATGACACGGAGGCTCTGTATGACAAGAGACTTTACAGATGCCATTCAGGAACTTAAGATGATGAAATGATCCAGGAGTCCATGGGTAAGCCTGGTGTAATCAGCGTGGTCCTTATGGGAGGGACAGAGGAGGAGTCCAACGGCCCACGGTGCAGACCAGTGGTTCTCAGAGTTTGGCCCCAGGTTGGCAGCACCACCCAGGAGCTTGCTAACAGTGCACATTCTTCGGCTCTACTCTAGAGTTACTGAGCTGAGAACTCTAGGGAGTGAGCCAAGCAATTCACATTTAACAAGCCCTCCAGGTGATTCTGATTCGTGCTAAAGTTTGAGCATCATTGCTAACAACTCAGTTTTGCTCTCCCAGCAGAATAGGCTTGAGGCTAAAATGCTGGGGAAGCTCACTCTATCGGCTTGTCAACAGTAATTTGCGACTGCTTCCTTTCCGCCTGACTTCTGTCAGACTGTAATCACTTGAACAGCCTAATTGAGAAATCACTTATGTTTATAGCTGAAATTAAATATGTTTTGTATTTAAATAACTGCTTTTGATTAGAATCATATTTTGTGGAAAGTGGTTGGTTTTATCTGTGTACTGTAAAGATGTTTATAAAAAGTCATCAAATTTCTAGCAGTAACTAACATCCTATTCAGTATAAGGTGAAATGTTTTACATCAACTCTCATGCTGTGTAATGGCCAATCAAAAGGTATTTAAGGTGGCTGAATGGATTTCTTGGCTTAGTATTCAAAATTAAACATTTTAAGACATTAACATTTAATGTTTTTCTTCTCAAAGTTGATGTTATATAACTTATTATTTGCAACTCCTGAAGTCTTGCTTAAGCAGTGAGTGGCAACGCTTTCTTTTTCTCTTCTTTGTGAATTTACTGAAATATAGATTGTTTGAAAATGAGTTTAGCCTTGTGGCACATATCTGTTTAGCTGTGAATACTATCTTTATTAAGAAGACAAAAACACAGCTTTGTCTTGGTAAACATGTGTCACTGATTTCTGAAGAGTCAAAAGAACTCCCTCTATTGTGCTCTTATTTGACAAGTGATCTTGTGGTTCCTTTTAGGTATCCAATAGGAAAAGCATTCTCCCGTCTGCATCTGTGGAACTGGATGGTTCCTACTTAAGTGTAGCCAAACCACAGATCCACACTCAAACCAAGCAGAGGCCTAAGTCTGCAAATCAGGACTCCGCTTTGGACTCCCTTGTGGAATTTAGGAATAATTCTTTGAAACCAGCAACCCTTCATTATTCCAAAGAAGATATGAGCAAGGTGCCCTCAGAGACCAGAGCATGTAATTACAGATCCCCAGGGAAAAAGCTAGTAGACGCAGTCCCAACAGAGAAAGCCCCTCCCAAAGAACTGAAGATGAAGGAATGCCAGCACCTTCAGGCTCCTCCGTCTAGTCAGTGTTGTGGCCATGGACTTTCTGAAAATGCAGATCATGTTCACGAGAACCATCCAACAAACATGGGCCCTCAGCATTCCAAGACACAGCTGGACTCATGCAGGTTTTGTGGGCTTTCCTGGGCGTCTCTGATGCATGGCCATGGGGCACTGCCACCTAATGAAAATGATGTCAGAAAGCAGCTCTCGGAAGATAGGAGGCAGCAACTTATGCTTCAGAAAATGGAGCTGGAAATTGAAAAGGAGCGCCTTCAGCATCTGTTGGCCCAGCAGGAGACAAAACTTCTCCTGAAACAGCAGCAGCTTCATCAGTCTCGACTGGACTATAACTGGTGAGTTCTGTCAGTTTTTTCAGCAGTACCTGTAGTTTGGATAATACAGTATAAAATGACAGCTGTGTTACTGTAACAGATGTGTAGGAACAGAAGTTCCTCAGAATCTTGGTTTGCTCAAGATGCATAGCAGCTATGACTTCTAAATACATTGTAGTCTTTTGAGAAAGAACTGAAAGATTACCTTGTCTTCCAAAATGTTAGCTTAGAATATCTACTTCTCACCTGTCCAGTGTAGTTTTGGCTGGATTCTAAAGACAGTATTTTTCAACAATGTTACCATTACACAAAATACTTTGTTATTTGATGTCATTGTAGAGAATATTAAGCATTAAGTAAAAACTTAAAATTTTAGGATGTAAAATGAGACTCACTGTGACTAGGTTTCATCATTCCTTATAACAAAGAGAACCTGCTAAATTCAACCTTTTCTGGATATGAAGCATAACCTGTTCAATAGCCAATTATTATACACCTTCCCACATTTAAACTGCTCTTCCTCTGACAATTTTTCCCTAAGAACAATGTTTTAAAAGCTAAAGCCCGATTTAATATCATGTAGTGTTTATTATAGTTTTACATACAAAGTCAAACTTTGTTATCTTAATTTCAAAATAGTAATAGATCAAATGCAATTTTAAACATAAGAAAATATGGCATTTATGTCTTTTTATAAGTAAATTTCAAGGAAAGGGAGTATGTATTTGTGTGTGTGTGTGTATCCCTGCCATTTTCTCCTTGGTCAAGCATACCTTTTCCCCTTTGTACACATTCTTAGACATGTTGATCCTTGCACACCTAATATTAGTGTTATTTTCTTTTACTTCTTGGAGTTAGTTGTCTTTGACTTTCAGATCCTGCTCCATGTTTTTAAATCCTCATGTCTTTGAAAGTTCAGTCTTGTTTTCTTCAATGCAGTGCCGACTTCCCTAGGAAGCAAATGTGATCTTCCTCTTTCTCCTCCTTTATGATCAATTTTATTCTTCACTGTTGAACCTGGAGGCTTTTAAAGTAAGTGAAAATGAAGCCTCTTGTAACAGGATTGTCACCAAAGGCTGAAATGTTGCTTCAATTTTATGACCCCAATCTCTAATTCTCCAGTTAACGTGTAGTTTCTCCTGAGAACTTCATTCCACAAACATTTATTGAATGTCTGTGTTATGTGAGGAATGGTTCTAGGTAGTTGAGATAGATAAAAGAATTAAATGCAGACTTTAAAGAGATCACAGTCTAGCAGGGGAGAATGGATAATTTTATGTTAGGCATCATGTTCATTTCAACAGCATTGTATATGCTCCTTCATGATAATAAAGTGCTTATTGTTCTCTTGATCACCTTAGCTTAGATGAAAGCACTATGAAACACAAATTTTGAACAAGTTTTGTGTATAGAGATTTCTTAAAACTTTTTATTTTGAAATAATTGCAGATTGATAGGAGTTGCAAAAATAGTACAGAGATTCTCTGTGCCCTTCACCCGGTTTCTCCCAACAACTACATTTTATACAAACATAATATATTGTCAAAGCTAGTAAATTAACATTGGTACAATGTGTGTGTGTGTTTCTGTGTCATTTTATCACATGTGAATTTATGTAGCCACTTCCACAGTCAAAATGTAGAACTATTTCAGCACCACCAAGATTTCATTTATACTATGCTGGGGTTTTTTTGTTTTGTTTTTTAATTTTGTATTGGAGCATGGTTGATTAACAATGTGGTAGTTTTAGGTGTATAGGAAAGTAATACACATAAAGATGTGTATTTTCTTTTTCAAATTATTTTCCTGATTAGATTATTACTGTGTCCTCATCTATTTTTAATATGTGTTATTTATTTATTTGGTTGGTTGCACTGGCTCTTTGGGATTCCCCGGTGGCTCAGATGGTAAACAGTATTCTTGCCTGGAAAATCCCATGGATGGAGGAGCCTGGTGGGCTACAGTCCATAGGATCGCAAAGAGTCAGACACCACCGAGTGATTACACTTATTTTTTGGGCTTCCCTGGTAGCTCAGATGGTAAAATGTCTACCTATAATGCAGGAGACCTGGGTTCCATCCCTGGGTCGGGAAGATCCCCTGGAGAAGGAAATGCAACCCACTCCAGTATTCTTGTCTAGAGAATTCCATGGACCGAGGAGCCTGGTGGGCTACAGTCCATGGGGTCGCAAAGAGTCGGACACAGCTGAGCGACTTCACTCACTGGCTCTTCAGTTGTGGCACATGAGGTCTTCCATCTTTGTCATGATGTGAGGCATCCTTAGTTGTAGCATCTGTACTCTTAGTTGCGGCATGCAAATTCTTGGTTGTGGCATTCTGGTTTCCTGACCAGAAATGGAACCTGGGCTTCCTCCATTGGGATCGTGGAGTCTTAGCCACTGGACCACCAGGGAGGTCCCTGAACTATGCTGTTAGAGTCACTCTTCGCCCCCATCTGTCCCTAACCCTGGGATCTCCTAATCTTTTGTCTATTTCTAGATTGTTATTATTTTAAGGATTTTATGTAAATGGAATTATGCATAATGTTAAATTTTGATATTGGCTTTTCTCATTCAGCATAATGCTAAGATGCATCTAGATTGTTACATATATTATACTTTTTGACTTCTGAGTACCATTCCATGATATAGATATACTGTGGTTTGTTTAACCATTTATCTATTAGACAGTTTCCTTGTTTTCAGGTTTTTTTCAGTTACAAATAGAGCTTCCATGTACATTCTTATACAAGTTTTTGTGTGGCCTAAGTTTTTTGTTTCTGCAAGTGAGAACTAGGAGTATGATTGCTAAATCATATAAGAGATCTTATTTAGCTTATACTCATTTAGTTTACAACACAGGAGACCCAGGTTCGATCCCTGGGTCGGGAAGAGCCTCTGGAGAAGGAAATGGCGACCCACTCCAGTACTCTTGCCTGGAAAATCCCAAAGATGGAGAAGTGTGGTAGGCTGCCACATGGGGTCTCAAAGAGTCAGGCACGGCTGAATGACTCTGCTTTCATTTAGTTTAAAATACTTCTCCTACCAGTAACATGAGAAAGATCATTTCTCCACACCCTCGTCAGCATTCGATTGTGTCACAAACTTTTATTTGATGTGTCCTGCATCTGTGTAGTGATAGTTCATTGTCACCTTAGTTTGCATTTTCCTTATGGTTAGTGATATTCAATATCCTTTCATTTGCTAGTTTGCCCTTCTTCCATTCTTTTGGGTATTCTTTTTAGTATCACTTGTCATAGTCTAACTGGATTGTTTGAATTGTTTTCCTGTTGAGTTTTGAGAGTTCTTTATATATTCAAAAGATATAAGTCCTTTGTCAGATAGGTAGGTGGATTTGCAAGTAATTTCTCCTAGTCTCTTTTCTTTTCAATCTCAAAAGGATCTTTCACAAAGCAAAAGTTTTTAATTTTGATAACAGTTCATTTTTTATTTTTATTCCTTTTAGATTGCATGAAGTTTTTATAATGTCCATTGCATTTTGTTAAGTATCTTTTATGGGATAATTGACATGGTTGTTTGATTTTTCTTTTTTAGCCTGCCAATACAGTGGATTGCATTGATTGATTTTTTATTTATATATATATTGACCTAGCCTTATATCCCTGGAATAAATCTCCTGGGTTATAGTGTATAATACTTTTTATGCATTCAGTTCAATTTAGTCACTCAGTCATGTCTGACTCTTTGCGACCCCATCGACTGCAGTACACCAGGCTTCCCTATCCATCACCAACTCCCGGAGCTTACTCAAACTCATGTCCATCGAGTCAGTGATGCCATCCAACCATCTCATCCTCTGTTGTCCCCTTCTCCTGTCTTCAATCTTTACCAGCATCAGGGTCTTTTCCAACAAATCAGTTCTTCCCATCAGTTGGCAAAAGTATTGGAGTTTCAGGTTTAGCATCAGTCCTTCCAATGAATTTTCAGGACTGATTTCTTTTAGGATAGACTGGTTTGATCTCCTTGCAGTCCAAGGGACTATCAAGAGTTTTCTCCAACACCACAATTCAAAAGCATCAATTCTTCAGCACTCAGCTTTCTTTATAGCCCAACTCTCACATCCATACATGACTATTGGAAAAACCATGGCTTTGACTAGATGAACCTTTGTTGACAAGTAATGTGCATTAATAATTTCTTTTTACTAATATTTTGTTGAGAATATTTACATCAATATTTCTCAGGTCTGTAGTTTTATTTTTTCATACTTTCTTTGTCTGGTTTTGGTATCAAGGTAATTGTTGTTCAGTTATGACTGACTCTTTGCAACCCCATGGACTACAGCATGCCAGGCTTCCCTGTCCTTCACCAACTCCGAAGCTTGTTCAAACTCATGTCCATTGAGTCAATGATGCCATCCAACGATCTTGTCCTCTGTCATCCCCTTCTCCTGTTGCCTTCAATCTTTCCCAGCATCAAGGTCTTTTCCAGTGAGTCAACTCATTGTCATCTGTCAACACACAAAGATATTACATAATTATTGACTATATTCCCCACACTGTACATTTCGTAGCCATGAGTCATTTATTTTGCAGCTGAAATTTTCTACCTCAGTTTCCCACACCTATTTCTCACCTCCCGTGACCCTTCTCTCCTCTGTTTGTTCTCTATAACTATGACTCTGTTTCTGTTTAGTTATGTTTGTTCTTTTGTTTTTTAGTGAAATCATACAGTATTTATCTTTCTCTGTATGACTTATTTCACTAAGCATAATACTCTCCAAGTCCATCCATGTTGTTACAGATGGCAGATTTTATTCTTTTTATGGCTAGTACTCTGTTGTATACATATACTACATCTTCTTTATCCATTCACCTATTGATGGACACTTAACGTTGCTTCCGTATCTTGGCTATTCGAGTAAATAATGCTGCAGTGAAAACAGGGATGCATATATCTTTTCTAATTAGTGTTTTTGGTTTCTTCAGATAAATACCAGGAGTGGGATTGCTAGATCATATAGTAGTTATATTTTTAATTAATTGAGGAATCTCTTCATTTATTGAAGAGTCTCTATACTGTTTTCCATAGCAGCTGCACCAATTTACTTTCCCTGCAGCAGTGCACAAGTATTCCCTTTTCTTCACATCCTTACCAGCGCTTGTTTTCTTTTTCACAGTGGCCCTTCTGACAGGTGTGAGGTGATATCTCAGTGTGGTTTTATTCTCATTTCCCTAGTGACTAGTGATGTGAAGCATCTTTCATGTGCCATCTGTATGTCTTCTTTGAACAAACGTCTATTCAGATCCTCTCCTGAATTTTTTAACCTGGTGGTTTGGTGTTTTATTGCAGAATTGTATGCTTGTACTGTTTTGATGACTATAGCTTATAATAGAGTTTGAATCAGAAAATGTAACGCTCCCATCTTTGTTCTTCTTTCTCAAGGTTTAGCTATTCAGGCTCTTTTGTGGGTCCATACAGATTTTAAGATTGTTTGGTCTATTTCTATGTCTAAATTTATTTTTACAGGTTAAGGACTCAAGCTGTATTTAAGTCAAGAGAACTGATTGCTAATAAAGAAATTACTAAACCTCGAGAGCTCAGTCTGGATATGAATGGGAGTGGCTCTGGACCAAGGTAAATTTAGGCGGTTGGTGAAGGCACACTATATAGGACTCAGATCTTAAGGATATGCTTGGTATATATTTATAGCTTCATACTGGTGAATCTAGTTTTCTGATTATATGTATAAATATATTCATATTATAAAACTTTGAAAAATATTGATAAGTGTAAAGAAGAAAATAAAAATCTTTGATAATCCTTCCGTTCAGAGACAGTCCTTTGAACCCTTTTCCCCATTCTGTCTCTTTTATGATATTATTTTCTATGTTACAGTAGGGATTATGCTTATACAGAATTTATTTTTTGCTTTTTTCAGTGTATGATAATTTCTGATGTCCTTTTTAATGAGAAACTTGATGTTAATTCATATAACAAATATTTATTGTGTGACAGCTATTACTCAGTATTTATCAATTAACCTATTATTAGATAATACAAGGTTTTAAGTCTCAAAGAGTTGGACATGACTGAGTGACTTTTACTTTCACTTTCATTATAGATTACGCTTTGAAGAAAATTTCTGTGAATACATTTCTTACCTTATCTCCACCTATTTCCTGGGCATAGATTTCTGTAAGCAGAACTACTAGCTTAAAGTACATGTGAATCCGTTTAAAATTCATGATTCACATTGCCAAATGACTTTTCATGAAAGTTAAATCAACTCAAACTCCCAAACCAATGTTTAAGAATGCTATTTTCATGAAATATAAAGAATTTTTGGCCATTATTTTTTCAAATACATTTTTTTCCTTAGTCTCTTTATCCTCTCCTTTTGGAACTCTGTTTACATGTATGTTACCATAGATCTTTAGTTATTGTCCCACAGATTCCTAACTCTCTGCTAATTTTTTAAAACCTATTTTTCTTTATTCATATTGAATGATTTCTATTGATCTGTCCTCAAATTCATCAACTCTTTTGTTGTTTCTAATTTGCTTGTAAGCCCATACAGAGATCTTTTTTTTTTTTTTTGATACTGGATTTTTTGGGTTTAGAATTTCCATTTGTATGTTTGTTATACTTTCTATGTTAAATTTTTCTATTTTATTCATTACAAGTGTATTTGTTCCTTAAACTCTTTGTCTGCTAATTTTAACACCTGGTTCATCTTGAGGTTTGTCTCCATTGATTGAAATTTCTTTGAGTTGGTCATGTTTTCCAGTTTCTTTATATGTTTAGTATTTTTGGATCATTTCCTGGTCATTGTGAATAACTCTAGAATTCAGTTATATAGGCATATCTCATTTTATTATGTTTCACTTTATCATGCTTCACAAATAATTTTATATTTTACAAATTGAAGGCTTTTGGCAATCTTGCATCAAGCAAGTCTTTCAGCACCATTTTTCCGACAGCATCCGTCACTTTGTGTCTCTGTGTTACATTTTGCTCATTCTTACAATGTTGCTAGCATTATTACTGTTTTTCTTGCTAATAGTAGTAGTATTATATTTGTTATAATGCTCAGTGAACTTTGATTTTACTATTGCAAAAGGATTATGACTTGCTGAAATCTCAGATAATGATTAACTAGCATCTTTTTAGCTATAAAGTACTTTTTTAATTAAAGCTTGTCATTTTATTAGATGTATGCTATTGCACATTTAGTAGACTAACAGAATGTAAACATAATTTTTATATGCACCAGGAAACCAAAATATTTGTCTGACTCCTTTTTTGCAATATTGACTTTATTGTGGTGGTCTGGAACCCAAACTGCAATGTCTTCAAGTATGCCTATATTTATCTGAACAATGATAATATTTTGTGTACGTGTGGGCAGTTAATTTAACTGAACTCCAATCCAAGTTCGGTGTCCCTGGAGTAAGTGGTGATGATAATCACTGTTGAGTTATTTTAACTTTAATTGCGATGCTTGAGTCTGCCCTGATCATGGGCTTCCCTTGGAGCACAGCTGGTGAAGAATCCACCTGTAGTGTGGGAGACGTGGGTTTGATCCCTGGTTGGGAGGATCCCCTGGAGAAGGGAACCAGCTACCCACTCTGGTACCTGGCCTGGAAAATTCCATGGTCTGTATAGTCCAGTTCAGTTCAGTTCAGTCACTCAGTCGTGTCCGACTCTGCGACCCCATGAACCACTGTACGCCGGGCCTCCCTGTCCATCACCAACTCCTGGAGTTCACTCAAACTCATGTCCATCGAGTCGGTGATGCCATCCAGCCATCTCATCCTCTGTTGCCCCCTTCTCCTCCTGCCCCCAATCCCTCCCAGCATCAGGGTCTTTTCCAATGAGTCAACTCTTCGCATGAGGTGGCCAAAGTATTGGAGTTTCAGCTTCAGCATCAGTCCTTCCAATGAACACCCAGGACTGATCTCCTTCAGGATGGACTNCAGGAGGCAGGTAAGGTGGTCCAGCGTTCCCGTTTCTTTAAGAATTTTCCAGTTTGTTGTGGTCCACACAGTCAAAGGCTTTAGTGTAGTCAGTGAAACAGTTGTAGATGTCCTTTTATAATTTTCTTGCTTTTTCTATGATCCAATGCATGTTGGCAATTTGATTTGCTTTTCTAAACCCAGCTTGAACATCTGGAAGTTCTCAGTTCATGTACTGTTGAAGCCTGGCTTGGAAAATTTTGAGCATTACTTTCCTAGTGTGTGAGATGAGTGCAATTGTGTGGTAGTTTGAGCATTCTTTGGCATTGCCTTTCTTAGGGATTGGAATGAAACTGAAGTTTTCCAGTGCTGTGGCCACTGCTGAGTTTTCCAAATTTGCTGACATATTGAGTGCAGCACTTTCACAGCATCATCTTTCAGGATTTGAATAGTCCATGGGGTTGCAAAGAGTTGGACAAGACTGAGAGACTTTCACTTTCATTTTTCAGGATGCTTGAGTCTGTTCTGATCATGTATAAGTTCAGGGGTTAGCCTGAACTGGCAAGATTGTTACATAGAATTTAAGGCTTTCCTATTTCTCTCCTCTCCAAGATTTTTCACTTTTTAGCTCCTTTCATCAGCCTATACTCTATCCTCTCATTCTTTAAGCCTGCTTTCAGCTAAAAACCATTAAAAAACTTGGAAACTCACCCAGAGCTGCTGTTTTCTTTCAAGTGCTGATCCTCTGGCAGCTTCTGCCTACTGCTGGCCACACCGCTTTTCAGTATGTTTGTTATTTTTTTCCTCCCAGGTTGTCCAGTTGTTACATGTAGGAGATTTGGCCCTGTGGAAGCTCCTCAACCATTATCAGGAGCAGAACCGAAGAATTCTTTTTTTACACAGTTTGCCATAATTAATTTTTTCAGTTGTAAAATATAGATAAAATTTGCCATCTCACCCATTTTTTAGTTTACTGTTCATTAATAGTAAACATATTTATATGTTGCTCCCAAACTTCTAATTTCTCTCTCCTGGCACCTTCCCCCTTTGGTGATCATAAGCCTGTTTTCTACGTCTGTGACTCTATTTCTGTTTTGTAAATAAGTTCATTTGTGTCATTTTTTTAGATTCCATATATAGGTAATATCATAGGATATTTGTTCCTCTCTAACTTCTTCACTCAGCATGATAATCTCTAGGTCCATCAATGTTGCTGCAAGTGGCATTATTTTATTCTTTTTTATGGCTGAGTAATACTCTGGTGTGTGTGTGTGTGTGTGAGAGAGAGAGAGAGAGAGAGAGTGTGATGTGGTATATAGTAGACATCTTTTATCAATCCATCTGTCAGTGGGCATTTAGACTGCTTCCGTGTCTTGGCCATTGTAAATAGTGCTACAGTGAATATTGGGGTACATGTATCCTTTCTCTTCTGTACTGTTAATATCACTTTTAATTTTAAAAATTTTTATTGGAGGATAGCTGACTTTCACTATTGTGGTAGTTTCAGGTGTGCAGCAAAGTAAATCAATTGTACCTGTACATACATCCCATGTCGGCCACTGCGGAGCATTGACTAGAGTTCCCTGTGCTATACAGTGGGTCCTTATCAGTTACCTATTTTATATACATAGCAGGTGTGTATATGTCAGTCCCAGTCTCCCAGTTTCTCACTCCCTCCTCTTACCCACTGATAACCGTAAGTGTGTTTTCTGTATCTGTCACTTATTTCTGTTTTGTAGATAAGTTCATTTGTACCCTTTCTATAGATTCCACCTATCAGTGATATCATATCCTATTTGTCTCTTTTTGCCTGACTTACTTCACTCAGTACAACAATCTCTAGGTGCATCCATGTTGCTGCAAATGGCATGATTTTGTCTTTTTCATGGCTGAGTAATGTTTCATTGTATATATGTATCATGTCATCTTTATCCATTCCTCTGTTGATGGACATTTAGGTTGCTTCCAAGTCCTGGCTATTGTAAATAGAGTGCTGTGATGAACATTGGGGTGCATGTATTGTTTTGAATTATGGTTTTCTCTGGGTGTATGCCCAGGAGGGGGATGGATTGCTGGGTCATATGGTAGCTCTCTTTATATATATATATAATCATCTTTATTAAAGTTCATGATTACATTAGAAACTGACATGGATTTCTTTAAGACATGCAGATTCTCACAGGCACCTGCTTTCCACCTTTGAGGATGATAAGGAGGTCAATATCTTAATGTTATTACATCAATTTTTCACCAGATAGGAAACCTGAAAAGGTCTCTTGGGCCTTCCAGGTCACTATACTCTCTACAGACCTGCCCATATAGTCTCTTGAATTTACAATTTTAAATTTGCAATTTCTTGTAAATTCAATAAGTTCTGGGCAACAGAACACTATAACTCTGCTGGTTTTTAAGGTGCAGTTCCAGGGTTAAATATTGTACGTATACATTTCCAAATCATCCAGACTTATCTTTCCAGTAACGTGTTGCTCATTTTACCTGGTGTTTCAGATGGTAAAGAATCTACCTGCAATGCAGGAATTTCTAGGTTCAATCCCTGGGTCAGGAAAATCCCCATGGAGAAGGGAATGGCTTCCATTTAGTATTCTTGCCTGGGGAATTCCATGGATAGAGGAGCCTGGCAGGCTACAGTCCATGGGGGTCCCAAGATTTTCACTTTAG